GGAGAAAACGTGGAGGCCGTGACAGACTTTGTATTTCTAGGTGCAAAGATTACTGCAGATGCAGACTGTAGCCAGGAAATCAGAAGACGCTTACTTCTTGGGAGGAGGGCAATGTCCAATCTCGATAAAATAGTAAAGAGTAGAGACATCAGACTGGCAACAAAGATCCGCCTAGTCAAAGCAATGGTATTCCCTGTAGTAACCTACGGATGTGAGAGCTGGACCTTAGGGGAGGCTGAGCGAAGGAAGATCGATGCTTTTGAACTGTGGTGTTGGAAGAAAGTTCTGAGAGTGCCTTGGACTGCGAGAATATCCAACCAGTCCATCCTACAGGAAATAAAGCCCGACTGCTCACTGGAGGGAAAGATACTAGAGACAAAGTTGAAGTACTTTGGCCACATCATGAGGAGACAGGAAAGCCTAGAGAAGACAATTATGCTGGGGAAAGTGGAAGGCAAAAGGAAGAGGGGCCGACCAAGGGCAAGATGGATGGATGGCATCCTTGAAGTGACTGGACTGACCTTGAGGTAGCTGGGGGTGGTAACGGCCGACAGGGAGCTCTGGCGTGGGCTGGTCCATGAGGTCATGAAGAGTCGGAGACGACTGAACGAATGAACAACAACAACAAATCATCATTGGACGGATGCGAATTCCCTGTTTTAACAGTGAGATACCACTTTTAATTTTAGGTTACAATATTGGTCTCTTAGGTCATGCTATTAAAAAAAAATCAGTAGCTTATCCCTCTTACCCAAACCTCACCCCTGAGTTTAACTGCCAATTTTGATTTTATTTTTAACAACCTGAATACGTTAATTTTAACAAGAACTATTACAGCTGTTGTCTAGGATACTGATCCACAAATCTATCTCACGTGTGTCAGGAAGAAAACTGGTTTCCTCAGATCCCTGCTGCCCATTTGTAATAGAATAATAACAACATTGACCTATCTTACAATGCTTGGTTAAGTAAAGATTTCTGTCAGATAAAGCACTCTGAAATACTAGTTATGTGAAATTTTTCTTTGTTCTGGTTTTTGAAACAAGCACAGGAAGTGGCAACAGTCATACAAATTAAAGTCCCACTGTTCGTGCAGATCTAACTGAACATAAATTGTAATAATAATACAAAATAATAATAATAATAATAATAACAATAATAATAATAATATTTCTTTCCCGCCTCACGGCTTGAGGCGGGTTACAGCACTATTTAAAAAATAAACATATAATCATTTTAAAACACTTCGTAAAATACACATATTAAAACATAACTCCATAAAATACATATCAAAATACACAAAACAAAAACGAAGACATACAGTGGAGTTTAAAATTCACCATTTAAACTGTCTGGGAAGGCCTGCTGGAAGAGACAGGTCTTCACTTGTATCTTAAATTCTGACAGCTGATCCAGCTGTTGGAGCTCTACCCACACGTTGTTTCACAGTCACAGAGCAGTCAATGAAAAGTTCCTCTGGGTTGTGGTTGCCAGTTGGGTTTTGGCTAGTTGGAATAACTGCCCCCCAGACATCCTCAGTGTTTGGGGTGGATTATAGAATCATAGAATCACAGAATCATAGAATCAAAGAGTTGGAAGAGACCTCATGGGCCATCCAGTCCAACCCCCTGCCAAGAAGCAGGAATATTTCATTCAAATCACCCCTGACAGATGTACGGGAGAAGGCGATCCTTTAGGTAACCTGGACCCAAACCTTTAAAGGTCAAAACCAACACCTTGTACTTTGCCCAGAAACTAATTGGCAACTAGTGGAGTGACTTTAGGATAGGCATAATATGCTCACGCCTAGATGTACCTGTAGCCAGTCTGGCTGCTGTATTTTGAACCAGCTGGAATTTTCAACCTTGGTACATGGGTAGCCCAATGTAGAGCACATTGCAACAACAGCAACAAAACTTTATTACGGTCCATGGACCCACAGTTGTTAAAAAAAAACATAAAGGAGTTCACAGATCCCTCATGGCAGAAGTCCAACCTTGAGGTTACCAGTGCGTGCACTACCATCTTCTGGTCCTCCAAGTCTAGGAAGGGGTGCAGTTGGTGCATCGGTTGAAGCTGTAAGCACTCCTGACCATCGCATCTACCTGGGCTGCCATTTGAAAAGACAGATTCAGGAGCGCTCCCAAGCTGTGAACACAGTCTTTCAGGAGGAGTATGATCCCATCCTGGACTGGTTGACATGCCTCCATCCCCAGATTAGGACCCTTGATGGCAAGCATCTCTATTTTGTCTGGATTCAGTTTCAATTTGTTTTTCCTCATACAGCCCATTACCTCCTTCAGGCATTCATTCAGAGGAGACATGCTATCCTTAGCTGTAGCTGCTTTTGAAGGCATGGAGTAATATATTTGGGTGTCATCAGTGTATTGATAACCCTGCCTCATGCCTCTGGATTATCTTTCCAGAGGTTTTATGTAAATATTTAAAAGCACTGGGGATAGAATGGCACCATGCAGGATACCACATAGCAGCTCCTTTTTGAAGGAACAGCTATTCCCAAGTGCAACCATCTGGAACATGCCTGAGAGGTACGACCGGAACCACTGCAGCACAGTGCCTCCAACCGTTGTTAGGAGTCAAATAAGGTCATATGAGAGAAAGGATTCATGAAACTGGAGCACGGAATAATACAGAGGATAAGGCTGTAATTAGCAGGGCATCTGCTGTAGAATTTGTCAAGTACCACACTACACTTGAAATCCAAGCAAAGTAACTGAGTTTGAGGCAATTCCTTATTTCTACAGTAAACTCTTACCTAAAATTATATCATAGTAAAACCATGGAAATGAATAAAATCTGTCTACCAGCAGTAAAAATCAGTACAGTTAATAAAGAGCAACACTCAAAAACAAGGGAATTCCAGGCAAGAATAAATCAGGGCCAGTTAACATTTCCCAACACAGGATCCCCCAAGCAGCAAGCTGCTAGTCTCTGAAGCTGCAATACACTGAAAGTTGGCACAATCCAAAACAACAACTACGGAATATACCACACTGCATTCAACCAGACACACTGTTAGAACCACAATGAAAATATCCTCCTCTAAGATGCAAGTATTTAATAAAACGTTAGTGTGCAATTTCCATATGCAATCTATATGCAGCTACTATGTTGAATTTGAGGGTTTATACAATATTTAGAATCATAAAGTAGAAATTTTTCTCTAAAATAACCTCCTTGATAAAAAGAAGTAATACAGATTGGCTGCTAAGATTCAAGAGTTCTTCATCAAATTCAACTTTTTTTTTAAAGGAGATAGTTATGTTACGTTTTCTCTACACATTTATTGAATTATAATTAAATACTGTGCAGCAGGTTAAACCACTGAGCTGCTGACTAAAAGGTTGGTGGTTCAAATCTGGGGAATGGGGTGAGCTTCCACTGCTAGGCCCAGCTTCTGCCAATCTAGCAGATCAAAAACATGCAAATGTGAGTAGATAGGTATCACCTATGTGGGAAGGTAACAGTGCTCCATGCAATCATACAAGCCACATGACCTTGGGGGTGTTTACAGACAATGCCAGCTCTTCGGCTTAGAAATGGAGATGAGCACCACCCCCAGAGTTGGATACAACCAGACGTAATGTCAGGGGAAACCTTTACCTTCACAATTTAATTAAATCTACTTTAATACAGATTAACCATTGAATTTATTTACATTATTATAACTGATTTTATATATGCATTAAACATCATTTACAGAAATATTCTCTAAGAATAATAAAGACTAGAGTTTGGAGAAGACAAAGATTGGCAGTAGTTGACAATACAGGTCTTGAGAACTAACATTTTTGTCTGTGCCGTCATCTATGTCTAAAGGCTGTTATCTAAAAATGTATAGGGTAAGCTAACATTATCTGCAGCTAGGAGAAGCTACCAGGGACTCGTAACAACAACCAATATATTTCCAAGACTATTTTTTCCTACTTTTTTCTAAACAGATAGGCAATACAAGCTTGTCCTGTACTTTAACACTCCTTAGAACAGGACATTTCTAGTTGCTCTGTGCCATGCCTTCTCTGTATTTTCTTTGCTTGTTTGGGAATATCAGGTTACCTGTTTTTCCAGCTACGTCTTTCCATTTGCCTCTACACACAATACTTTGGATCCTCTTATCTCATACCAGAACAGTTACTTTATCTTCTTGACTACATGAGTCACAGGTCTCCTTAGCTGTATGACTGCCATTACAATCCAGTTTCCCATTTTGTTAAAAATGTTAAGTACATTTTTATAATGTTTGGTACATATTTATAAAAAGAACTTGCAACAAAATGTTATAGTAAACCTTCGAACTCCCACAGTCATGCCCTGACACAGGATTGTACAAGCTGTGAGAGGTCCAAGCAAATTCACGGACTCCTTACTTTTGTAATTTTGTTTTCTCACAACTGCCTATGGCTCTTCTGCCCACTCAGAATGCTCAGGCTTTGTTGGGTTTCTGAGAGGGAGGCTGTCCCTCTACTTTTTAAATATTTATTTTTGTGACCTAAAGCTTCTCTCCAAATCTGCTAATACATTCCTCTAATTTTCCTGCAACTTTTTGGAGCTCCATTTTGTAGACACAATAGTACTATGTTTTTCCATTATGAGAAAGAATAGAAGAATACAACATGAACCATTATTTATCGTCAATGTAAACAAAACCCAGCAAATCACAGTAAAGATACATGGAGTCAAATGCACATGTTTACCAATGCTATATATATCATTCTACATATAAAAGGTATATTTGTGCATCTAATTAGTAATGCTTCCTGTAGTTTTGAGGAAAAAAACAAATTGAAAGTTCAAAATAAGGCCACAACAAACTAAAGAAATGGAGATGTTAACTGCAGCTTCCATTTTCCCAATTCCAAATGAAAATCATTTTTCTACGCTGTTCCCCTCAAACATCTGCATACCTGCATCACCTACAACAAACAGAAATACATCATTCTGGTGTGCCATACATATAGTTTTGTAGATGGCCTACTCACCTGTAACGGCATCATAAAATTCCTCTTCACTATTCATCTTTTTACGTTGTATTTTTTTCTGCACCAAGTGGTTACTTTTTTTCCTAATGCATAGTTCTTTGTGATATGATTGAGGTTTTTCATAAAAAGCAAAATCCTTCCAGAAGATCTGGTTAGAGAAAAGAAAAACTGGTTATTATTGTTATTGTTGTTATCATCATCACCACCAATCAAACTCAGATAATTAAGGAACTCAAATTTCCCGTTTCTGACATATATTAAGCATCTGAATTCTTACATTTCAGTGCTATGTCATATAACAAAATGAAACAGGTATTAACTAAATATTGTTTTGAAAATGTGGTGAGGTATAGCAATTATTTGAAGTTACAAAGCCTGCAAAAGAGATAACTGTTTGGCAGAAATGTCCTATTGCATTGTACAAAGAGCAAATACAGCAATGTCTAGGCAAAAAAATATATTATGACTAATCCGGCATCAGCAATAGCAAAGTAGAGGAAACATTGAAAACTAAGGACACTCTGTCTCTGACTCAAGGTTGCCACTACTGAACAAAAGAACTTCAAATAAAGTTTAATACAGGAAGGAGCAGAACAAAAATTCTGGGATGGGATGGATGTGTTGTTTTGCGGTGTGTTAGGAAAGGCATGTAATTTCATTGTGCAATAACATAATGACAAATAAAGCTAAACCTGGAGCAGTACACATTCAGTAAAACGTGTGTTCGTGAACAAATAATGACTAGGCAAGATTTTCAGTGCTGCAAACAAATGCATGCTGTCAGTGCCACCCTTCCAACCTGACCTCTGAAAGCAGTACCTTTTAAGCAAACATTCATTACAAGAGCAATTGAGGCTCTCTCAAACAACAGCTGTTCATATAACCTGAAAAGAGTAATTAGTTTACTTTAGTTCCTCAACAAAACAGAAGATATAATTTGCAAAATAATCCACATAGGTCACTGACCACTAGGATGCAGACATATAGCTAACAAAATGGGAAGTAAATCAGCGTTTTTATTTGACCTTCCCAAGGTGTACATTCCCAGTACCAATGGGAATTTACAGATCTCAATGTAGGGCAGACTCCAGCACATTCTTGCTCTTTCCATTCTATGGAGTTGATTTACATTGTAATTTCTCTTCCTAACACATGCCATTTTTTGCATTCATCACAATGCACTTTATACACCCAACTCTCAAGTCATGAAAGAGTCCAACACATGTTAATGTTTTTACCCATCATAAAAGGGGGGGAAAGCCCTCCACGTGGTGAGGTCTGGGATTGGATGCCAGGTCTTGACAATCCAAAAGTGCTAGTGCTGAATGTTCTTATCCAACAAAGGTATATAGAGGCAAGTGAAAACAGTAACATATCTACTAAGAAATGAGTCGCCATAATAGATGCTTATATAAAAGTATAGAAATTTTAGTCAACAGAATCTACCCTAAAAAAACCCAAGTCAACTTTTCCACAGTAGTCAATGTGAGTATAGTACATTAACTCTTATTTAAAAAGTAACTATTTTCTTCTCTAATTGGTAGAGGTCAAGAGCTTAATCCAGTCTGGGAGAACATAAAAAAAGACTCTGGCTGCTTCAATTCTCTATACCACAATGTGGCTTCTAGTATTTTTGAATGGCTGAGTGGGAAACTGATAGCCTTCAGAGACAACTGCCCCCCTGGTGCAGTGCTGCCACTTTCCCTTATCCACAGAACAACCTTCGACTTATCCATAAGTCATTTCAAAATCCATAATTCCCCCCCCCCAACTTACCCTTGACTTATTAATGGGATTAACATATAAACAGGTATAGAATTATTATTATTATTATTTTACTAACAGAAAAGCACAGTATGAAATCCAGCAAACGAGATCTATATGCTGGATTTCGTATCAAAAAATCACAAGTCAAACACTTCCCAAGCGTCTAGGACTGTGTGATGTATTTTCAAATGATGTGCGCACATCCAAGTAAGGTGCTCTTTTGCAGTTGACAGATCGTGATTTTGTTGATGTTTACTGTTTCCAAATGTCTGCTGAGATCTTTTGGCATGGCACCCAGTGCACCAATGACAACTGGGACCACCTGTACTGGTTTATGACAGAGCCTTTGCAGTTTGATTTTGAGGTCCTGAGTTTTTCTTGTTGTTTTTCCTCAACATGACTGTCGCCTGGTATGGCGACATCAATAATCCAGACTTTTTTCTTTTTTCCATAATCGTGATATCTGGTGTATTGTGTTCCAATAATAATAATAATAATAATAATAATAATAATAATAATAATAATAATAATTGTTATTATTAGATACATAACAAGATTAATACACAGCAAACAATATCACTATGGTGGTTTTTGTACTTAATCACATGTCGGACACTTCCCAAGGGTATAGGACTCTGATATATCAGCAAATAATGTGTGCAGATCCGAGTAGGGTGGCCTTTTGCAGCTGACAAATGGTCATTTTGTCAGCACCAATTGTGTTTAAGTGCAGGCCAAGATCTTTAGGCACTGCACCCAGTGTGCTGATCACCACTGGGACCACCTTTACTGGCTTGTGCCACAGTCTTTGCAGTTCTATCTTTAAATCCTCATATTATATAAGCTTTTCCAATTGCTTCTCGTCAATACTGCTGTCGCCTGGGATTGTAACATCGACGATCCATACTTGGTTTTTCAACACAATCGTGAGGTCAGGAGTATTGTGCTCCAGAACTCTGTCTGAATTTGGAAGTCCCAGAGTTGTTTGATGTGTTCATTTTCTGTAACTTTTTCACTCTTGTGATCCCACCCGTTCTTTGTCACAGTCAGATGGAATTTGTGGCACAAATTCCAATGGATCATCTGAGTAACTGTGTTGTGCCCCTGCGTGTAGTCCATCTGCACGATGTTCTCGCAGCAGCTGAGTATGTGATCCATCATTGCTTCCTTGCAGAGTCTACACTTGGAATCTATTATTACTATTATTATTATTATTATTATTATTATTATTATTATTATTATTATCCCCTTTTTCTCTCCACAAGGGAAACTCAAAGCGGCTTACATTAAAAGTATTTCAACACAATTTAAAACACACACACACATAGATGTAGTAGTTTACGGAAGCATGATATAGGAGAGGGAGGACAAAATAACAAAAAGAACACAGAAAGTATGTCCAGAAACATAACCACAGCCAAGGAGACCCACATTCTAGTTGTTTTGGCAGCATCTTCTTGTCTGGCTTCTTTCAAAATGTAAAAGAGGATTTCATCTGCTTGCTTGCCTTTAGATTACAATTAGTTTTATTTTTAAAATGTTGTGAGCTTGTTTTTCTACTGAAACTTACTAGATACAACATATAATTTCCGAATATGTCACAATTTGTTTTTGTTCTGAAAGCACAAATGTGATCTCTGTTTTTCAGACTCTAATGCTGGTTGTACAAGTTTGACACGACCCTTGTTATAAACGTCCCTCCACGCCTCTGAAAACAAATACCATCCTAATAGCAAGTATTTGCTTTATTATTCACTTAATCTGAGAGAGCAAGCGTATGTTTACAGGTGTGGGTGGCAGAATGAGAACAGCAGAAAATGGTAAGACTTGCTTTGAGACTATTGTTGAAATGTGTGTGGAAAAAGCTCAAATTAATCTGCAAATTTGCCCACATATATTACGGAAAATTTCTCCCTATATAAGTCCTCCCCCTTCTAACCGTTCTGCAGGTAACTTTCTTCAGACATTCACAAGGCAGCGTGTCTCTGCGTATGTATCTAACTTCAAGTCACCTACTGACTTATGGCAACCCCATGAATTTTATAGGGTTTTCGTAGGCAAGGGATTCTCAGAGATGATTTTGCCATTTTCACACTCTGAAATATAGCCTACTATAGGAATCACTAGTAGTCTCCCATCTAAGTACCAGCCAGCACTGACCCTGCTTAGCTTTCAAAATCAAATAAGGTCTGATGCCTCTGGATATTTAGGCCCCAAAACAACTCAAGCAACATGGAATTTTGGGCTGAAAGACTACATAGCCACCAGGAGCACTGGACTGCATACATGGGTAAATTTTTAAAAACTTTTTATGCTTCAGATCTTGTTGAAAAAACACGTGGACCATATTACCTCTTTTTGTAAGGAGTACCTCTTTCGAACAATTAAACATGTTATATAAAAGATGGAAATAAGAGGCTGAGTCAGTTTTTTTTCTAGAGGTTTCTCAGCAAAATCAATAGCTAAAACATATGTATCACAACCAGAGAAAATGGGCATCAATTGTAAACATTGCTTCAAGCAAGAAGGCAACCACTACTGTATTTTGATGGTGTCCCCAAAATACTAAAGTCTTTTGATTTTTGTAATAATGTTACTGCTTTGCTATTAGAAATCTGACAAAGTTTTCAAACAAGTGAGGGTCAAAGTAAAAAAAAAACAAATCCATAAAATCCAGTTCTTGTGGGTTTTTTCGGGCTATATGGCCATGTTCTAGAGGCATTTCTCCTGATGTTTCGCCTGCATCTATGGCAAGCATCCTCAGAGGTGAGGTCTGCTGGAACTGGGGAAAAAGGGGGTTTATATATCTGTGGAATGACCAGAGTGAGACAAAGGGCTTTTGTAAGTTGGGCTAGGTGTGAATCTTTCAACTGACCACCTTGATTAGCATACAATGGGCTGACCATAAAATGTTTTCCACAATTACAGACTGCAAGAAAAATAAACTAATAGGCCATGGCACAACCTTGAAATACTGTAATTAAAAAGTTGTAAAGTTTCTCCTTTAGTCTAAAGCAGCATTTCTCAACCTGGGAGTAAGGATGGGGTGTCAAAGGGGTTACCAAAAACCATCAGAAAATAGTATTTTCCATTGGTCATGGGGGTTAGGTGTGGGAAGTTTGGCCCAATTTTATCATTGGTAGGTGAACTATAAATCCCAGAACTACAAATCCCAAATGTCAAGGTATATTTCCCCCAAACTCCACCAGTGTTCACATTTGGGCATATTGAATATTCATACCAAGTTTGATCCAGATGCATAGTTGTTTGAGTTCACAGTGCTCTCTGGATGTAGGTGAACTACAACTCCAAAACTCAATGCTCACCAAACCCGTCTAGTATTTTCTGTTGGTCATGGGAGTTCTGTGTGCGAAATTTGGT